AGGAACACTAACCCTTAAAAACATTCTTCCTATTGATGGCTGTTGAATTCAAACCTAGACCCTCGGAATATTGACACAATGCTCACTGACTGTGCCACCCAGTCTCATCATTAGGTCCCAATTTATCAATAGTCTTTCAGATGATATGGTGATGCAGGTGTAATTGGAGATTGAATACTTGTTGTGTGGGAAGCTTCATGCTACATTATCATTCTAGACACAATGTTAAAAAGCTGCAATCCTTTAACTCCCCTCCAAAATGTAAGGAAAGCTTACTTCAAGAAAATGGCATGTGCAGGAGAATCATTCAAAATGTCAGATCAATAATTCATGAACAAAAGAGAACTGCCCTCACACTTAATTCCACTGGGATACAGATGCAAAGTCAAAGTTTAAAAGAATATTAGGTTTTTAAAAATATCTGATTTTCACTTGCAATATAAATTAAACAGCAAAAGAATTTGTTCCAACAACATAAGACTGTAATACAATTACAGAACTTATGCAGTAACTAGTACTCTGAAATTATAACAACTCATTACTAATAGGGGTATTAGTACCGCATTTAACTAAAGAAGACATGGAAATAAATTGAAAAGGATTTACACTGAGTGGAAGGGCTTCAGGCTCCTGGTTTTGAGACTTCTTGATGTTAATAAAAAGTTGTGTGGAGAATACAGATTCTGTTTCATTGGGGTTACTGGATACATATCACTTATAAGCTGTCAGAAAGAATTTTCACTAAATCTGACTACATAGAGGAAATTCTTAGCAGAAGGAAATCTCATTCATGACATTTATTAAATTACTGATTGAGCCCCTCAGGGATGTATATTTGTAGCTGATAAAGTGTAAATCCAATAACCCATAATTTATTGAGGATGAATGGATTTTGAATGGGAAACATCAAGCGAATAGTCTATGAAACTTCAGAGTCCTCTGAATGACTCAATGCTATCAACAGGTCTTGAGTCCATCACCACGTACAGCATTTTGTTTATTCTTTCACGGGGTGTGGCATTGCTGTCAATTGTTGCCTATTCTTAACAGCCCTTGAGTCATTTGAAAGGAACTTTATCAATGCAAGTGCGCCTTCCTTTAAGAGGGAATGCATCCATGAACATCACTATGCACAGGCTATTCAGACAATGATAAGTCATGGAGGAACTTCAGAATTGTTAAGAAAAAAGACCAACCCATGACAGTGTTTCTTCCAGGAGTAGGCAGGCAGGCCCTGACAATAAGAGAGAACCCCACCCACTCTGGCAGAGATGCTAATGCGCGGAGGTGAACTTTGCCACCAGTGAGACTCTCCTTGTGTTATGAAGAATCCGGCTCAGATTGGCATTTCTCCCCAACTCCCCAACACCACATGGGAATAAAGCCATTTGTCCCATTGTGACTGCACTGCCCCAGCAATTGGCATTATAACTAAGTGCCATCCTCCTGTCTTCACCTGCACAGTATTTCTATTTCAATAACCATCCAAAGATCTCTTGAAAGCCTCAACTGAATCTCAACCACCACTCTTCCAGCAATGCATTCCAGACCCAAAGCGCTCATCGCGTGAAAAAATTTTCCTCTCACGACACGTGCTTTTTTTGCAGATCATGTTAAATCTGTGCTCTCTCATTCTTTCAAGTAGAATAAAATTGCACCTGTCCAGTCTCTCTCATATTGTATTTACCACTGCCAAACCTCTGCCATTCCTCACACTCAGAAAGTTACCCAATGGCAGGATGGCTCAGGTATCCAACACCACGCAGCTCCCTGCCATATTACCAGCCCTCTCCCTCTCCTAGTCCACCATTTGGTAGTTGGAGAAAGTCCTTCCTATGTCCTTGTTCACTTATATGGTCAACAGCAATTCTGACAGGCTTACACCATGTTGCCAACTGCTGATGGCAAATTCAGAGCTGTGCTAAAAACATGTTTACCCTGGAGGACGGAGCTGTGAATCTGCTCTCTTACTTAGCACAATCGATCTGAGCTACCCACTGCCAACTTTAATTCACTCCAAACGATTTCTGTGAGATGCAATACAATTGAGGTAATTGAAGATGTCAATATGACAATGACCATCCACCAATAACCAAGGCTATCTCCTTCCATCAGGGTTGTTCCCTGTATTTGTTAAGCTATTGTACAAGATGTTAGTGAGGCCACTTCTGTAGTACTGTGTGCAGTTCTGGTAGCTCTGTTATAAGAAGAATATTATTAAACTTGAGAAGGTTCAGAAAAGATTTACCAGGATGTTGCCAGGAATGGAGGCTTTGTGATATAGACTGGAAAGGCTGGGACATTTTTTCACTGGACGTTGAGGGGTGACCTTATGAGGTTTATAAAATTATGACGAGCATAGATAAACTGAATGCCAAGGGTCTTTTCCCTAGGGTGGATATTCAAAACTAAAGGGCATATTTTTAGGGTGAGAAGAGAAAGATTTAGAAAGACACGAGGGACAACTTTTTTACACAGAGAGTGATTCGTGTGTGGAATGATCTCCCAGAGGAAGTGATGGATGCAGGTACAGTTACAATGTTTAAAAGACATTTGGATAAATTCATGAATAGGAAAGGTTTGGTAGCATATGGGCCATGTGCAGGCAGGTGGGACTAGTTTAGTTTGGGAACATGGTCGACGAGGATTAGTTGTACCAAAGGGTCTGTTTCCATGCTGTATCACTATCTAGTTAAATTGTGGATGTTAATTATGTTTTGTGTGCTTGGGGTTGCAATGGGAAGCAAGTTCATTGTGGAATGCAATAAACATATCAGAATCACATATAGAGAGTAGTGTATTGAAGTCTGTGCTTGCCTACCCATAGTTGAGATAAACATCAGCATCACCACCAATTTTGATCTCTCAACTGATACTCCGTTTCCTGCCAGAGCAGCTCTGAGGGATAGGGCACTATTACAAAAATCATGGGGCCTTCAATATGCAGGTGGATTGGGAAAAGGAGGTTAGTAGCAGATATCATAGAAAGGAATTCATGGAATGTCTCCATGATGGATTTTTGGGACAGCTTGTGGTAGAGTCCATCAGGGAACAGGCAATTCTGGATTCGGTGATGTGCAATGAGGCCAAGCGATTGAGTGTAGTTAAGATACAGATAGATAGATAGTTGATTAGTAGGGAAATCAATGGTTATGGGGATAAGGCAGGAGAATGGGGTTGATTGAATGGCAGAGCAGACTCCATAGAATCCCTACAGTGTGGAAACAGGCCATTCGGCCCAACAAGCCCACACAGACCCTCTGAAGAGCATCCCACCCAGACCCATCCCCCTACCCTATCCCTGTAACCCTGCATTTCCAATGGCTAACCATCAAACCTACACATCCCTGAACACTACGGGTAATTTAGCATGGTCAATCCATCTAACCTGCACATCTTTGGATTGTGGGAGGAAACCGGATTAACCAGCGAAAACTCACGCAGACACGGGGAGAATGTGCAAACTCCACACAGACAGTCGCCCGAGGCTGGAATTGAACCCGGGTCCCTGGTACAGAGGCAGCAGTGTAAACCACTGAGCCACCGTGCCTCCTGTGCTGCTGAATGGCCCACTTCTGCTCCTATATCTTATGGCCTGATGGAAATCGTGTTGCACGTTGTAGGTAGGAACTCCTGATCTTGCGTCACAACTCAACAATTCCTGTTATTAGCACGGTGCACAATATAAGCCTCTGGAGCTGCACCATCGAAAGTGATGGGCAAAACGAAGCCAGGGTGATGTGAGCAAAATCTTTTTCACACAGCAAGTTGTTGTTACGGACTGCATTGCCTGGAAATATGGTGGAGGCCAGTTAAATTGTGGCATTCAAAAGGGCATTGGATAATTTTTTTAGGATAGAAATTGTGTGCCAAGGGTGTGTGAACGATGTTCATTTGAAGAGCTGGTGCAGGCATGATGGGCTGAATAGCCTACTTCTGCGCTGTCATGGTTCTGTGATTCTGTGACAGGATTGAGAGAAGGGTACTGTCAACATGAAGGCAAGGGGAGAAGATGCATTCGGAGCTGATGACTTGACACTGCCTTAAATTGAGCACGTGGTAGGAAAAGTCAATCATTGAATTTTTTGGTTCTGCTTAGAAGTTGGCATTGAAAAGAGATTCATTAGAGGCGTTCAAAATGATGAGGATCGAGCTGGAGCGGTCAAGAGAGAAACTGTTACCGTTGGTGGAAGGATTGCGAATCAGAGGATACCAATTTAAAGGTGATTGGCGAAGAAATGAGGATGACATGAGGGAGATGCTGTTTATGCAGCCAGAGATTAGGATTTGGATTGCACTGTCTGAGAGTGTGGTGGAGGCCGAGTCAAACGTGGCTTTTGAGAAGAGATTTGCAAAACACTGTATGAGGAAAGAAAAAAAATCTGTAGGACACAGGGGACACGGTGGGCAAATAGAACTACCTGAGTTGCTGTTGTAGAGAGATGGCTCGGATATATCCAATTAGCTTCCTTCTCCACTGAAACCACTCTCTGTTTCTGTGAATTGAGGCAATGAAGGAGAAATAACAACGTAAATTTTCATTTACATAGGGAGTTTAACGTGGTGGAGAGAAAAAAAAACGACCTGAGTAACTTCGCTGGAGCCTTAGAGAATAAATTCTAACAATTCTAGAAGGACCTATTAGGGCAGCAGATCAAAAGCTTGCAGAAATACCTCATTTCTAAGAAGCATCTTGAAGGAGGAGAGAGCACAGAGAAGCATATGAGCACAGCCAGTGGAGGAAAGTGGAAGAGATGCTGGTATGATTGGTGTTAGGCGTGAAGTGGGAAGTGCCAGGTTGGGTGAGTGAAGGAAGTACTTCAGAATCAGTACAAACAGGCCAGATCACTTGGTGTGGAAATATGGAACTTCACAGGATGGTGACTTTCTGATTTGGACTTGGGCACAGTTGTCCTCCCTAAGTAAGTATTGACTGTTGGCTGGTGATGTAAACTTGTAGTACAAAAAGCATGCATTGCTGGATCACTAAGTACTTTTACCTTGCCGTAAAGCTTGGCCCACTGGGTATAAAGTGCACGTTTGCAGAGTCTGGACGAGCTACCCAGGTCTCCCTTTCCAGTTGTGGCATTAATGACCTCCAGGTCGGAGTCACCCAACGTCCAGTTTACACTGAAGCTAGGAGACTTCCCTTGCTGACGAAATCCAGTGCTACTGATGCCTGCAGAGAAATGGAAGCAAGTGAAATTAGAATAGAAGCACAGGCCCACATAGTGAATACACACAGGAAAGAGGTGCAGAACCTTTCCCCCAGTAAGAAAATGTCGAGAACATTTGTACACATGCGGGAGGATCATTTTGAAGTATGCGTATCCCTCGAATACACATTTTCTGTTTTGTTATGGGCTGTGTGTGAACAACAGGTGTACACAGAAGTTTGAGAATCCTTCGATCATAGCATCCATTGGAATGTGGAACCAAAACCAGCTTCCCACGAGCCTCACTCATGTTACAATCTGTTTGGAAACATTTTAATGGAGTGAATGCATCTTGAGGGAATACAGTTGGCCTTTTAAAACCTTGAGAAAGGCAAATATCACTTAAAAAGGGTTCCAAAGAGGAGAAATCTCTCAGTAGCTCTTAACTCTTCCTTTCACTGGTCCTGCTAGAAAATACAATGATTTTCCTGTTCAATTTGTGATATAGAATATCACTTGTGATTGCATCTTGAATTAATTTGTAATTAAAATCAATGGGATGACTAAAAAGTTTTTAAATATGCAAAGAGAAAACACTATTGTTGGCAGCTTCAAATCAGAAAACTCAGAATTCATTTCTTGTGGCTTCTTTTGACCCCAGAGATGTGACTCCAACCTTCCATTCCAGATGCCAACTCCAAATATTGCCCCTGATCAGCTGCCTTTATTTCTGCAGGCATCTAATCTCCATTTCCTTGATCTGTTGCATCTCCAATTTACCTGTCACATTGGCTCTACCTCATTTGTGTCCAAGTTCTGTTAAAATGATATAAAAATAAAAAGTGGAACTGGAAGAAGGCATTAAACCTTATTGTTCTTTAAACAAGAACGTTGGCATATTTCAACGTCTCTGCTAGTCACTGGAGAAAAAGAAGGTTTGAAATAAAAATCTTCAGATTAGATTTATTTATTTGTCAAATGTACTAAGTATAGGAATACGTAAGTACAGTGAAAAGTGCACAAAGTCGCCACTCATTGGCGTCCACTAGGTGACAAAACACCAGAATTAAAAGATTTAACAGAGACAAAATGTAACCAAGAAAGAAAAATTCCGGATTTCAGAGTCTCAATTCCCATCTCCACAATGGTGCAGGCGCTGCTCCAATCACTCGGACCCTGTTGCTCCCTCACTGGCCCCGCTCTCACC